TGACTGATGAAAGTATCTATAAATAAATGTGTGATTGATTCAATAATTATTTATTTATGTATAATTAATAATTTCTATTAACGGAAAATTTGGTAAACAAACGATAGAAATAGTTTTCGTTTATATTTTACTCGGAGAAAACAGCACAACTCGAAAGATTTGTAAACAAACTGCGTTGTTAGCATTGACCATAAATAAAAATTTGTAGAAAACAAACATGTTTTCCTGCAAAAATATAAACTTCATGAATTGAGGATTGGCTGAGTTCCACATTTACTGTTTGTTACGAAGATAGAAGATTTTCATTACATTCTATTTTCATAATATAATTTCAAACAATGCATTGTTAATGACGTCATTTTTAACTTCAATTAATTGTATGAACAATATAAATATGTGGTTGATTGAAGATTGATCGAGCTAATAAAACCAATATCAGTGTCTTTCCAGTCCAAGGCGGATACTCAATTCTATCTTGGAATGTAAGTATTGTAAATTGTTTACGATTCATGGAGTGTAAACTTTTTTAAAAAGGGTTTGGCATAAATAAGTAGTAACAATTATTATTATTATTTTATAAAATATATTTTAATTTGGGTGCTTTCGAATTTTGTACACAATTTCATTTACATTTTAAATTAACATTAACAAAAAAATGTATGCCATAGTAAAAATGAGGTAACCAACTTTGTTTGCTTATAATTAAATAATATGTATATTTATCTAAATAGTCACAGTACACTGTTTTTTATAACAGGCAAATTTTGCAAGTATGAACAAAATTTTTGTTATTTTCTCTCATTGTGCATATTTTAAATATGATTATGGGGATAGAATAGATTTTAAGTTCGGAAAACAGTGAATAATGTCAATCACTTAATTTTTTAACATAGACTTCTGCAACTTTAGTAATTAGTTTTGCCCTAATATGTTGGTTTAGTTGATCTAGAATACTTACATTGTCTTAATAATTATAGAAATTTTGTATCCCAAAAATTGATGCCCTTTCTATTTTCTTTTAAAAACAAAACAGCTTTTTTGATTAGTTACTAATGTCTGATCTTTCTTTCCATCTTGGTTCACTTTTTTTAGTATTATAGTTTACACGATTTTTATTGGTAAAATTGTTTTTGTTTGTTCATTGATTAATACACTTTTTTAACATAATCTCTTGAACAACTTTTATATTTTATGTTTAAAAATGTAAATGCAGAAGGTGTCCACAAACTGTAGCCACCAAAGAAAACTGCATGTTCTAAAATCTGCAAACTTTTGATCTAATTTTTTGTCAATTTTACTCAAATAACTAATTCAAATATACGTGCTAAGGGAGTTAGAGTTCTTTGAAGATAAATATCTTCAAAACCATTCTTTGACAATCGTCCAACACATTGAAAGGACCATGCAGCAGGCTTGTGGATAAATGGGCTTCTGTCAAATTTCCTGAATTTTTGATATGTTCTAGTTGTCGACTTCGCTGAAAAATAGTATCCCTGGACACAACTCAGTTCTATGACTAGTTTTTGAACTTGCAAATTGGTGATTTTTAAAAAGGACGTACCTCTTAAGATAGTACTATGATTACAGATACTTTTTGAGAGTAATTCTTTACTGATAACAAACAATAATTCCAGGATAACAAATTAGGTAAATTATTATTAGTTACAGGGTGAGTCATAAATTACTTAAAATCGAAATTTAATTTTTACTTTAACATGGGAATATTTTCCAAATGAATATCACGCTCGAATAGCCTTCACTTAAATAATCAAAATTAGGAACTATTACATTCTATACAGGGTGAGTCAAAAAGTTGGTAGACTCTGTATGCTTATTTTAATAAAATTTTACATATTTAATATCATGTTTTAATAACAGACATTATACCATTTTGAATTTAATATAATTTATAAACCATATACAGTAAGATTCAAAAGATATTTAAAGAGAAAAATGAAGAAAATTATGGTTTTTCATGTCTCACCCTATATTTAAATATTTCGACTGTTAAATTGCGTAATTTTTGTACACTTAATTTATTCAATAAAGTGTTAAAATTATATGAACTTAATATGATCCGTTTTTGAGATATGGGGTATAACTCTTGGTAAACTCCTTTCCTCTAAACTAACACTTAAATTACAAGAAGTATTATGGAAACCATGGGGTTTCTTTATACGCTGAACATAAAATATATTTTGTTACTATCTACAATACCTAATAATTATACAGTATGATACAAAAGTATGGAATAAATTGATTATTTAGAAAATAATCGACTTTTAGGAAAAATACTAAAACAAGTCGTATTTAATTTCAAATGCCCATTCTTTGACGTATTTACGAAAGAGATTACTTCACCATTGTGTAACTGATGACGTAATCGTCGATTTTTTAAAATGGAAACATTGGTCTAATTTGAAAGGCAATTTTATGATACATTCAACAGTACGAAAATGAATAACATTGACATCAATCTTTACGTCCTTAAGTTATTCAATGGATTACATAACATAATTTAAAAAAATTAAATAACGGTGAGTTATTAATCTCACTAAAAATCTCAGTAGAAATTATATTTCTACTTTTTGTTAATTATAAGTTTATTTTTTAGTAATTTTTTTGTGTTGCTGGAATTACATATTGTTTGTATTATTTAATTTTTATTGTTGGAAATTTTAAAAAGTAGTTGTTTAAAAGTTTGATTTATATCTCATACAAGAGCCTCGTGAAAAACAGAATTTATTTTTGTTTAGGGAGCGAATACAAGCAGTTTCAATTTTTTTTTCATATTTTACATTGGAAAGTAAAAATAGACACCACATTTTTACATAAGCAGAGCAATATCGATTTACCGGAAGATAGAGATTGGCGTTTGTGCTCGTGTAGCTACCAAATCTATGGAGACTGCTGCTGCATGAGTTATAAGGGATAGACCTTTACAAATATTATTAAAAATATTTCGTAATAACATTTAAAAGTTCTAGGAGCTATTTAGGATAACGTTATGTGGTGCATTGAATTACTTGTAAAATTAGCTTTCATGAAGTGACTTACTTTAAATTATTTAATAATTGTTGTTTCCACAAGAAGGTTTATGATCGATGTTTTGGTTTATTCATTTTTATACTGCTGAATTTTCCATAATATTATCTCTTAAATGAGTGAGTTCATGACTAATGTTTCATTTAAAAATATAATCGAATACGTCATCAGTCAAACAAAAGTAAACATCAAGTAGGTCAAAGAATGATGGCTAAAAAAAAAAAGAAATCGCATGCAACACCGTACCCGTGAGAGAAGTAAAACTTCTTAAAAACTAGAGAATAAGAGAGATTACAAATGTGTGTGTTGGAGAGAGAGAATAATTTATTAGACTCACCCTGTAACTATTAATAATTTACGTCATTTGTTATGCTGAAAACATTGTTTCTCAGTAAAGCATTATTCTTGAAAAATATCTGTAATCATAGAGGCACGTCCTTTTTAAAAAAATTTCAAGTTGTATATCAAAAGCTAGTCATAAGATTGAGATGTGCCCATGGACACTATTGTTCAGCAAGTCGAGAACTACAACATATCAAAAATTCAGGAAATTCGACACAAGCCCATTTGTCCATAAGCCGGCTGCCTTGTCCTTTGTTAAATATTATATCAAAATGGCGGCATTTTGAAAGACAAGAAGTTAGATATGGATAGAAATGTCCAATACCTCGTTTTAACGAACTATTTAAGACTAAACCTAAAATCGTATTTGCGCCTTACCTTTAGGTACATTCTACGAAACAAATGTTATAAATTTAAAGAAAGGAAATATTTGAATTAAACCTCTATCAAGGCGCCATATTTAAAGAGCTCTAGCTCCCCTGGATAGGATGATTTAGGTCATGTTTGCAGCAATTTTTGTACATTAGGATCGTTCAAAAAAATCAGACTATTTTTTTCTTTTGAAATTTCACACTGAAATATCTTCAGGGTACTAAAAAAAGAAGTTTGTGAAAACCGAAGCTCTTATTTTTAAAATTTAGATGTCTCGCATCGAGAATTTCTGTTTCCCATTTAAATAACATGGGAATTTTTTTTTTATTTTCTAGCTCACAAACTAATCAACACATTTTTTTGAGCGATATATATATATTTTTGTAGGAAATTGAACGCTCTACAAAAAATGTCCCAAATGAGTTCAAAAGTTATTTAAAGTTAAATTTATGTCATAATTGCAATTTTTACTTCAATTTTAGGAAAATTCATTAAATTTATTATCAAATATAAAAAAAATATCACTAAAAAAATCGAAATTACTATGTTCAATAAGCCTTTTAAATTAATTTCACTGAAACACCTACTATTTCTGGAAAGAATTGATTAAAATCCTTTTTAATGTATTTATAAGTATTTAAAAATTTTTTAATTCATTTACTAACAACGGTAATGGATTTGTCGGTAATGGTAGTTCAAAATTTTCCACTTTTATAGTTGTGTTAAATATAATTCTATACAAAAATATATATACAGAGTGGCCCATAAAAATCTGTTGATTCCCATGTTATTTAAATGTGAAATAGAAGTTCTCGATGCGCGACCTCTAAATTTTAAAATTAAGAGCTCCGGTTTTCACAGGCGTCTTTTTTTTTTTGGTACCCTGAAGATATTTTAGTACGACATTTCAGAGAAAAAGAAATGGTCGATTTTTTGAACCAGTCTATTGTACATGCATTTATTCATATCCAAGACATTTCTCCCTACTTTTTTATTTGTGCTTTCGAAAAACATTTATGATACTTTCTCATATTTATATTAATTTTGGTAATATTTCATATAGAACGTAAATCTATCCTCATGCTCCAAATTTTTTAAATTAATCTGCATTATTATTAAACTTGGTTACCTCATTATTATTGAACTAACATAGCAACTAATCCGTAACAGTAGACATAGTTTTTTTTTTATTTTTTGCATAATCCCTGTAGTAGACGTACTACGTTTGTTTTTTGTTTTAGGACTGATAGTGCTAACACTAACACAAACAGAAAAATGCCTTCTTCCGGATTAGCTGAAGAGGCAGCCCTCTTGGGGTAAGGAACACTGGACACATCAGCTTGATTTTTTTATTACCATTAGTTTATATTTAGTTAGATTAGTGAATGGTTTTTAAAGTGGTTTTGAATTTATATTTGAGCTTGTTAGTATATACAAATAATTTTCCCTTTTTATGTACTTTTATTCTACTTTATAAGCAATTTTGAGCGATACTGTGTAGCTTTAAATGCAACCAACAAGAAGCATAATACTACTTTAAACTGAAAATAATGACAAAGAATTTGTATTCTGTATCTGGTCTGTATCATTATTGTATCTGTGGCTTCCCTTTCTGCATTCTTTTAGCTACCAACGTTTAATTTAATGCTTCTAATTTTACTGTTAATAAATAAACATTACTAAACTTTTTAATTAGTTTCCCTTATCTGGAACTATTGGAATGTAGTCTTGCGTTCGGAGTCGTATTAATAGAATAAAAATTGTATGATGATACATTTTATGAGAAAAATTTAATATTTAATAAAAAACAAACTTAATAATAATAACCTAATCACAATTTTAATGTGTGTTTTCATAATATATTTGGTCTAGTAACATTTTATGTTTTTAAGTTGGACGATTCATATGATATGCAGAGTGATTAGTGAACAAACTTAACAATATAAACGTTCCTAATTTTCAATTTTACTTAAAATAACCAACGATGTTCTCCTAAGTACCTTCTTATATATTGAGAGCTAGCGCCCGAAAGGTGGCTAGAGTTTTGTAAAGTGATGGACAGGATCATCAGAAAGTTTCATCTACAAGGATTTAGTTTAGAACCCATGCAAAGGAGATATCAGAGAACTCAAAGTTTAAAAAAATGTTGGTTAAAAAACGATCATACCTCCGGCTAAAAATTTACATATCACCACTTTGAAGGTCAAAGATGAGGTATGTAAATCGGCAGATGGCTAGACCAGTGCTCCGCAACCTTTCCTCATCTGAGGCACACCAAACTGCTCCCTAGAATTTCGTGGCACACCAAAATCTAAAATATATTTATAGCAGTGGCGTAGCTAGGTCGGGGGTCAGTTCACTCCATGTATACTAATTATTTATGGATGTCCAAACTACCTTAGTTTTTTTTATTGTTTTAAAATGTGAAGAAGCCCCTTTCAGATTTGGGGCATCAAAATTTTCACTCAGGACATAATACATATTTTTTTTTTATTTTTTTTTATTATTCAGATAGAATGAAAAATACATACATGAGAACTATACTAAATACTAGGTAGGACAGGTAGGTATACTAAATTTACTTCTGTTGACACGTCAATAGTAATAAATATTTTGACATGATGATGACTGATTAATGTGATACCTGCGCTTGCTTCGTTGAACACAAAAGTTTTATATTCAATTTTAGACAGCGCAACTCTCATTTCTTGGTCAAGATCTTTTAAGCATGACCGTTTATCATTTTTAATTAATACAAGCGTTGAAAAACTTTGCTCACATAAATATGTTGTGGAAAACGGAAGTAGTGTGAAGATGGCCTTGTCGGTGATGCGTGGATATTCTGTCTTGATGGAAATCCAGAAAACATCTAACGGAACTTCGTCGAATTTAAGTTTTAGGGTCATATCATTACTTAATTCTGTGAACTCCTCTCGAGTTTGCAATGGCAGTGCTTCCGTGGAACTTATTGCATTGGTTGCGAAAGGATTTCGAATCCAATTGTATTGTTCCGTGTTGATAGAATGGAAATAGTATTCAAATTTTTGTTGAAGCATACTTAAATGTTGTTGGGCCAAATCCACAATCAACTGCTTGTTTTCGATCGTACTGTGGTTGGTCCTGTGATACATTTCTAGACATCCTTTTTGCAACTGTTCCTGCCACAGTTCAAGTTTCTTTTTGAACCCTTGTAATTTATCGGAGCACGTCAATATATTTTCATTCCGTCCTTGCATTTTTTTATTAAGTTCATTCAGATGTTCGAATATATCCGCCATGTATGCAAGTTTGGCTATCCAGTATTCATCATGAAGGTGCTGGCATAGATCGTACATATCTTGACTTGAAAGAAACTCACGCACTTCGTAGCGAAGTTCAAACAGTCGAGCTAAAACTTTTCCCCGGGATAACCAACGAACTTCTGTATAAAACAGTAAGGATTCATGTTCGCTTCCCATTTCTTCACAGAGTATTCCAAAGATTCGCGAATTTAAGGCTCTCGATTTAATTATGTTTATGATCTTAATACATTCATTCATTGTGATCGAAAGCTGTTCGGGCAAATTTTTGACCATCAATGCTTCTCGATGTATGCAGCAATGTGTAATTTGTATTGACGGATTTTTTTGTTTTACACAAGATACAAAACCTTTCTTACTGCCCATCATTGCAGCAGCACCATCTGTACAAATAGCAACGCAATTGGTCCACTGAATATTATGTATTTTAAAAAAATTATCAGTTACTTGGAAAATTTGTTCACCGGTAGTTCTCTCTGGAACCTCCTTACAAAATAAATAATGTTCTTTAATAGAGTCCTCGTCAACGAAACGTACAATAGCCATCAGTTGTGCTTTATTTTTAATATCGGTTGATTCGTCGATTTGAAGCGCAAAAATTCCAGCCGAAATGATTTTTTTAATTAGTGTTCCCAAAATATCACTTGACATATCTTGGATACGTCTTTTAACAGTATCGGCCGACAAAGAAACTTTACTCACGTCCTTAACTTCGTTTGGCCCAAGCATAAGTCTAACAATTTCCATGCATGCTGGTTTAATAAGCGTTTCACCGATAGTGTGCGGTTTTTTTTGTTGTGCAATTAATTTTGCAACAAGGTAGCTTGCTTCTAATGCCTTTTCAGAAACCGTAACCGCCGATTTCATAAACTGCTTTTGTTTCTTATTTTGATCCAAGCGCCGTTGGAAAAATTGAATGTCTTTTTTGACGCAACTGGGATGATTTGTGATCAAATGACGGTTTAGTTTGCTGGGTACCATTGCTTCATTTGACAACTGTTCACCGCAAATGACGCATTCAGGCTTTGGAGCCGCTTCGTCGCCACACCAAGTGAAACCATATCGAAGGTAGTCTTGATTGTACTTCCTTTTCAGCACCTTTTTTGCTCTTTTTGCAGCACTTATGCTGGAGCTTGTGCTAGGTTCTTCGTCATCTGCTCGTGATTTCAGCAAAAATTTATCCATATTTGAAGCACTATAGTTATTTATAAAAGTAGATACTGCAACAAAACTTAGTCCAGTTCACTTATTTATAAGGCACAAGAATTTATTTATATAGCAATTCACTATTTATTTCACTCTACGATTTATTTGTTTGCCCGCGTATTTATCTGATTCACTTGACTATTCGACTCTCTCTGAGTCTCTGAGCGACGACAGGCGCGCTTATATAGGCAGTGGCGATGTTCAGGAAAACATCGAGTCGCGCCTCGAACGGCACGGATCTTTCTAGTTTAGTCGCCTTCGAGAATCAAGCCGCCGCGCCGATAGACGGATAGACGTTTACCATCGGCGCTGTTGTCAGATTGCTTTATTTTTCGCGGGTCTCGTTACAATACGAATCTGATTCGTATTGTCTGCAAGAGCGGCACACCTCAAGTCGGCTTACGGCACACCAGTGTGCCGCGGCACACCGGTTGCGGAGCACTGGGCTAGACCACTGCCAAAGGTCTACCAGACGCCGTTAAATTGGTAATATTTTGTTGAATTATTTTTTCCCTTCGTCTGACGTTTTAACACGTTATCTCGGAGACATTTTTAAACATTTATTGGTTATGATGATCAGAAGGACAGATCGCTGCAAAATCACCCTGCAATTTAAAAGTAACAACATAATATGTTTTTTGTGTTAATATATTTGATTAGATAACTGTCTTGACAAGCTTTATTTGCTCAGATAGCATTCAACTTTGGACTTTTGGATGGGAGTTCAATTCCCGATAAAAGCAAACTTCTTTTGTTCTTCTTTTGGAAATAATATGAAAATTGAAAAAAAAATAACCATTGTTGTTTATTTATTTTAAATATGTTATATTTATCATATTATAATCCCTATAATTAGGCAATTCATTAATCTTTTCCTAGCTATTTTGATGGCTGTTTAAAAAAAATTGAAGAATAAATAATTGATTACCTAGCTTTAGGGATTATATTATGATAAATAAAGTGTAATTAAAATAAATAGACAACATTAGTACGTAATGTAATGTTTTTTAGTTTATAATTTATTTATACTAAAAAAAACTAATTTATTTGTACTTAATACTAATTTATATACACAATATTTCGTTGACCGCAACACAGGACCTCGTAACTAACATTTCCACTGAAAATTATATTTTATAATAATCTCGTTTAAAACATTTCGCTTCATCTATTGTATAGGAAAATTATTACAATTTTTGAACAAAACATGGGTAAATATTCATTAACTTACGTAACAAATTTAATACCTGTATTTTGACCAAAATTGTTTTAAAAGGAATACCTAATTCAAACAACCAGTTCTCTTTATCAACTTGTTTGGCAGCTGTTATCGGTACTTTATTGACCACCGTACTGTGGTAACTGCCATTATCCACATTAATTGGAGGAGGTTCTTCTAAGTTTATTAAAAGTTGACATTCAAACCAATGCAGAAAGTTTTCTCTATTCATTTCGTCTTTATAATCATCATCCCGTATCTCAGAAGAAAATACCAACTCTGCTCCAAAAATAAATCCAGAAGATATACCTGCTTGTAGTACTATATACCTGAAATGAAAAAATAAAACGTTATACCAAAAATTAAACATGCCAAAAATTTTACAATATGCCTACAATAAATTAAAAAAAAAATTGGAAAGTATCAAATAAGTACTAAATTTAAATATATTTATTGCACCAGCAATTTTGGTTTTCCTCATACTTCTCTTATCAGTGTCTTGCCACGAACGTCTAACTGTACCATTTTTAAATATCCATCCAAAAGAACTAATATAAACTTTCCATTTTGATTTTAACGCATTCGTGTAAAA